TTTGTGGCGGTTTTGCTGAGATACGGCACGTAGGTACGTGGAATGCGCAATGTTTCGATAGCAATTAGAGTATCTCTCCAAGATTTCCACTCAGCTGCTGTCTCATCAGAGAGAGGTTGGTCCCAATCGACGGTTTCTGATACTATTTTCCTTAATAGGAGTTTCCCTTGTATAATCACCGGAGCCAAAAATCCCAGAGGATCATAGAGACTGTTTATCGTTGATAAAATTCCTCTCCGAGTGATCGGTTTGTTTTCTGATGATAATTGAAATAAGAAGTTGTCAGTGTTTACGTCCCAGCTGAGCCCAAGACTACGTTGCAGGGGTTTGCTGTCGGATTCTAAGTCTAGATCCTTCAGATTTGAAGCCAAATCACTGGCATGAAACGCAGACATAACTTCCGCACAATTAGAGGCGAACTTGTGAAGCCGTAAGTTTCCATACTTAGCCAATGCTTGCTGTGTGTCCTTCATGAGCTTAACAGCTTCCTCTTTTGTAGGACATGATGTAAGACCGTCGTCGACATAGAAGTCTCTTGTAACAAAGCTAGTCACGTGACTGCCGAACTCTTGTTCTGATGCCTGAGCTGCCTTTCTGAGTCCAACCGTAGTAACGGCAGGTGACGGACTATTTCCAAAAACATGAACTCTCATGCGGAATTCGACAAGGTTCTCTTGTAGGTCGTTGTTTTTATGCCATAAAAATCTCAGATAATTTCGGTGGTCTTTTCTTACTACAAAGCTGTGAAACATGTGTTGAACGTCTGCAGTTACTGCGACCACTTCTTTTCTGAAACGCAGCAGTACTCCCAAGAGATCATTGGTCAAGTCTGGACCTGTTAGCAGGACGCTGTTGAGTGAAACTCCGTTACATTTGGCGGATGAATCAAACACACCCCTAATCTGATCGGGTTTCTTCGGGTGATAAACACCAAACAATGGTAAATACCAGCACTCTTCATGTTCGTCCAACGGTGGAGCGAGCTCTGCATGATTATTGTCTAGGATCTTACTCATAAATGTGAGGAAGTGTTCCCGCTTTACTAGGTTTCTATTCAGACTTGCGTCTAACATATTAGCATGATGAAGAGCTTGTGGTCTGTTGCTAGGCAAAGACTGTCTTGGCACTCGGAACGGTAACGGTGCTACCCAGCTTCCTTCCGAGTCTCTGACAAATTCGTTGTCCATCTGCTTCATGAACATTTTGTCTTCATATGGCATTCCAGGCTTATCATCGTCCCTTGTTTTTTCAAAGAGTGGCGATTGTAAATCTTTCTTTACAGGGTCTGTGTAAATTTCCCGGATGTCAAACTTGCTTGTGCATGGTTGAAAAGTTGACGGTTGTCCTGTAGGTAAAATGTTGGTTATTTTGACGTTTAATTCATATGACACGTGCTGCTTTTTAATGCAAGTCTCTCCTATCACTACCCAACCCAGTTTCAATTGTTGTGCATATGGAGTTCTGGGTGGTCCTATTAGTCAAGCAGCTAAGTCCAATTTTTCATCAGAATTCTGCAAAATGTGGTAAAAGCATCAAACTTGGTATATAAGCTCCTAGCACCATTCTAAGCAAAATAAGATATGGAGCCAACCTGTAAAAAATTAACTTCCGGTTTTTTCCAAGATTTCCAAAAATTGCAAAAATTCTTAACTAAATATCAAAGAAACCGTACACATTGTGGTAAAACAATGAAACTTTGTATATTATCTCTTTGTACCCTTCTAAACAAATAAAGATATGAAACCAATATGAAAAACTATCAACTTCCGTTTTTTTCCAAGATGGCGGACGAAATAACAAAAATGTTAAAACAAGTCAAAAGGAAGTTGCAATATATACCAACAAATTATATCAGATGAGTACAATTGAAAGTAATATATATACAGTAGCTGTTATATGCAATAATACATTCATTCATCTTGTTTGTGTCGGTAAACCCTATACTCGCTGCAGTCCATCAGGCACAATCTCCACCACACTTGCCTAAAGTTGTATTCGGAAGGGCGGATTTGAAACCCTTGCATTGTCCTCGACAACCTTTCTTGCATCCACAGTGAACAAGCTACTGTAGTGAAGGGGTTGCCTCTGCCAATATTGTCCAGAACGGGTTCTATCATGCCGTTGTCTTGTTTTTTCCAACCATACAAGTCTGGGATGGAAGAACAGGCTGTATAAGATAACACTTTATCCAAATCAATCCAGCTTGGTACACAGAACGTTTGGAAAAGTGCCTTTCGTTTTTGTGGTACAGACTCGATTGATCTACCTTTATGTACAAAGAGCACTTTTCTAGCTTCATTTACACTGTTTGATTCACTTATCCGATGGTACAAAAGAACAACATATCGCTCCAGCAATGGTAGAATTGAATCACGGCATATTGTCCTTGGTTGGTCTGCCATCTGTCTAAAAGCAGCTGATATCTCGGGGAAAATATTCCATGTATCCCATGCTGTTTCTTTCCTCGTCCTGCAAATGAAGATACAATGTCGCAACCTGTAAAGGCGTGGAATATTGGTGAAAGCCTATATTGAAGAGAACCCAAAGACTGTGCAATATCATCAATAGGAATGTAACGGAAATGTTTCCCGGTTGCACATGTTATCCATATCTCATCAGCTTCTGTGTCCTTAAATACAGATATAGCGATCACAATTACGTCTGTATCCACAGTTTTAATGCTGATTTTTTTAAAATCATCCCTAAATGCATCTGCAACGTGAAGCATAACTCTCGTAACAGTTTCTTCGTGTTTGCACGGTTTTAGTTTTGACTTGTCTATGTGTGCCTGGTTTGAAATCACATTCTCTCTAACTGTACAGATAACTTTCTTTTCAGTATTTGCTGCTTCTGCCAACTTTTTCGATAGAAACTGAAACAGCTCCCTTTTATTCTCATCAACGCGTAGAAAGCCATGCCAGTTCTTAGGGATATTTGTTTGAGCTTGAACTGGCCTTCGAATTCCCTTCCCTCTTTTTTCTCTGGTTGCACTTTTGAGGCTGTTTTCTACATATGTGTCCCATACTACATCAACGCGTCCAACATCGCTATTTCGGTTTACTATGTAGTGAAGAACACTTTTACCGCATAATCATGATATGATATGCTGCACCAGGCTTGAGCATATTGACTACTGCTACACCGTCAATTATTGTTGCATTCACTTGGGGTTAACTATTGTTTTAGATATTAACGGCTCAAGACATTTTCTTGATAGATTTGACTTATCTCACTGACGTATGGTCCCATTTTGACTCATGATGGCGGATTCTTCTGGTTACGGCGAAGATAAACTCTTCATTTTGTTTGGAGGTCTTCATATCGAGATGGCCATTTTAAAAAACTATTGGTGATAGGCTGGAAGCGTCAGGTTGGACCAATGCTATTCCTTTTATGCGGTAAAAGTGTTTGTTCCCTACATAGTAAACCGAAATAGCGATGTTGGACGCGTTGATGTAGTATGGGACACATATGTAGAAAACAGCCTCAAAAGTGCAACCAGAGAAAATAGAGGGAAGGGAATTCGAAGGCGAGTTCAAGCTCAAACAAATATCCCTTAGAATTGGCATGACTTTCTACGCGTTGATGAGTATAAAAGGGAGCTGTTTCAGTTTCTATCGGAAAAGTTGGCAGAAGTAGCAAATACTGAAAAGAACGTTATCTGTTCAGTTGAAGAGAATGGGATTTCAAATCAGGCACACATAGACAAGTCAAAACTGCAACCGTGCAAACACGAAGAAGCAGATACGATAGTTATGATTCACGTTGCAGATGCAGTCAGGGATGGTTTTAAAAAGATCAGCATTAAAACTGCCGATACAGACGTAATTGTGATCGCTATATCTGTATGTAAGGACACAGAAGCTGATGAGATATGGATAGCATTTGCAACCGGGAAACATTTCCGTTACATTCCTATTCATGATATTGCACAATCTTTGGGTCCTCTTGAATCCATGCTTTTACCAATATTCCACGCCTTTACAGGTTGTGACACTGTATCTTCATTTGCAGGACGAGGAAAGAAAACAGCATGGGATACATGGAATACTTTCCCCGAGGTATCAGCTGATTTTAGACAGATGACAGACCAACCAAGTACAATATGTCGTGATTCAATTCTACCATTGCTGGAGCGATATGGTGTTCTTTTGTATCATCGGACAAGTGAATCCAACAGTGTAAATGAAGCTAGAAAAGTACTCTTTGCACATAAAGGTAGATCAATCGAGTCTGTACCACCAACACGAGAGGCACTTTACCAACATGCCAAACGTTCTGTGTACCAAGCTGGATTGATTTGGATACAGTGTTTGCTTTTACATCCTGTTCTTCCATCCCCAGACTTGTATGATTGAAAGAAGCAAGACAACGGCATGTAAGAACCCGTTTTGGACAATATTGACAGAGGCAACCTCTTCACTACAGGTACTTGTTCACTGTGGATGTAAGAAAGGTTGTCGAGGACAATGCAAGGGTTTCAAATCCGCCTTTCCGAATACAGCTTTAGGCAAGTGTGGTGGAGATTGTGCCTGATGGACTGCAGAGTATAGGGTTTACCGACACAAACAAGATGAATGAACGTGTTATTGCATACAGCTACTGTATATATATTACTTTCAATTGTACTCATCTGATATATTTTTATTGTAAATATTGCAACGTCCTATTGACTTGTTTTATTTTTTTTGTTATTTCAGCCGCCATCTTGGAAAAAACCGGAAGTTGATAGTTTTTCATATTGGTTTCATATCTTTATCTGTTAAGAAGGGTCTAAAGAGATAATATATAAAGTTTCATTGTTTTACCACCTTGTGTACGGTTTCTTTGATATTTAGCTAAGAATTTTAGCAATTTGTCCGCCATCTTGGAAAAAACCGGAAGTTGATTTTTTTCAGGTTGGCTCCATATCTTATTTTGCCTAGAATGATATTATGAGCTTATATACCAAGTGTCATGCTTTTACCACATTGTGCAGGGTTTTTCTGATATTGCCTGGACTATATGCGCTGGTCAAGGACGTGGTGTGCCTCTATAAGGTCTCTGCCAATTAAGAGAAGAATTTGGCAATTTTCCTCTATCGGTGGAATGCTACCTCTAAGTTCTTTTAAATGAGGGTGATGCATTGTGACTTCAGGAGTAGGTATTTCGTCCCTATTATTGGGAATATCATCACATTCTATCAGTACCGGCAGGTCAAATTTGTCATTTCCATTTATTGATTCCATGACAAAACCTCTTCCTCTTTTCCCGGAAGTGACTACTCTGCCGGAGCATGTTGATAAGGTATAATTCTCCGGTTTGTGTTTTACGTCGAAAAGATTGAAGAATTCGGGCGATGCTAGTGACCGGTTGCTTTGATCGTCAATGATGGCGTACATCCGGATAACTTTGTCCTGGTTATTCTTGTGATAAACATTCACAGGTAGTATTTTAGCACAAGATTTCCCGCTATATATATCCTTGCAAATCTCGGTACAGGTAGAATTAACTGAGGTTGACTTAGTTTCAGCCGATTCTGTAGGCTCCCCGCTATAGGCTTGCTTGGGCGAGCTAGACTGAGAACTTGCAGGTTGCTGTGGTCTAGTAATGTGAAGTGCGGTAGTGTGTTGTTTACTTCCACATTCTTTACAACTTATGCGTGCATTACATTCCCGGCTTCTGTGCGTGGTGGAATCGCAACACTTATAACAGACATTGTTTTGTTTCAAAAGCCCTTTGCGTTCCTCTATTGACTTGGCTCGGAACGCTCGACATTCATTTAAGGAATGCTTTGTATTGTGCAGAATACAAAGACCTTGTTTGCTGGCGTCTCTAGATTGCTGCTCAACCGCTGTCTTATGAGCACCAACTTTAGTCTTGGGGTGAGACGTGAACCTTGGCGCAGCACCTTTTGTATTTGGTGTGGCTTTTGACCCAAAGATGAACCCAGGATCATTCTTTGTTTTGCTAATTTCCCTGATGAAAGCAGAGAATTCTGTGAAAGGTGGAAAGGCAACTTCATATTTAGACTTGTATCTTGTAGCCCTTGTTATCCACTTTTCTTGGAGTCCGTATGGTAATTTTTCAACAATAGGATTTATCCCGGACGAAGAGTCAAAATATGCTAACAAACATCCCAGCTTGGGATTTTCCTTGTGATATTGTATTTCTGATAGAATGTCAGACAGTTCATAGAGACGTGCGTTGTCCTTATTCGTCAAGGTTGGGAATTTGGCAAGTTTACTCATGAGTGAGGCCTCCAACATTTCTGGAGCACCATACCGCTCGTCAAGCCTCTTCCATAGTCTCTGTATGCCTTTTGTAGGGTTATTGGCGTTCGACGCTCTTATGCTAATGGCATGTTTAGCAGACTCTGGACCGAGCCACTTGATCAGAAGATCAATATGTTCCGAGTCAGAAACTTGTAACTCGTCTGTCACGTTTTTAAAGCTGGCTTTCCATGAATGGAAAGATTCTGCCCGGTCATTAAAGCTTGTTAGCCGGGAGAACAGCAGGTCCTTGCGTAGGAGAAATCTGGTTATCTCCGACGTAGGGTTGATTTGTTGCTGGTGTGCAACAGGGATCTCTTCTGTAACACCCTGTTTTTGGTATGCAACAGGGATCTCTTCTGAAACGCCCTGTTTTCCTATGCCAGTTATTGTTCCCAGATCTGGGAATACATTAACTTCCGGTGACTTAGCATGTGTAGGCAAGACCGCAGGTGTCTGTGATGGCAGGTTCAATGCCACGGAGGGCACGAAGTCTGGCGCTTCATGACTTAACTCAATCTTAACAGACGTTTGTTTTTTCTGTTGAGGGGCTGTCGCTTCCTGTATGGCGGTTGGTTCAGGATGTTTATTAACAAAGTCTTGCACACGTTGGAGCGGGTCTTCCGTCTCTTTAGGGAGATCGTCTAGCGCTTGGCTGTCATCGTACTCTAGGATACGAGCCTCGGCTTCTGCGGCTGCAGCTTCTTTCTGTGCTTCTAGAAGGTTTAACTTGGCTTTCAGCTCGGTTTTTTCCCGGCTGACACGTGCGGCCTCCTGTTTAATTTGTGCTTTCCTGCGTATGGCCTCTTGCTCTGCTTCATGCTCCATTTCAGCCTTTTTGCGTGTGGCTTCCTGTTCCATTTCAGCCTTTTTTTGTGCTGCTCCCTGTTCCATTTCAGTTTGTCTGAACAGGGCTTGTTCCTCTAACATTGCCTCCTGTTGTAGGATAAGTGCATGTTGTTCGACAAAGGCTATTTTTGATTTAGCGGCCTCTGCTTTGGCACGCTTCCTCCGTGCTAGGCTTGACATGTCAGACACGTTAGAGCTACCACTATGTGAGGTTTTCTTACTTTTTGAGGTCTTTGTTTTAGTAGATTTAGCCTTTGTCAGGTCGAGCCGATGTTCGTGCAATGTTTCTAGGGCATGGTCCACTTTGGACAGACGAATATCCAATGTGAGATTGCATGCGTCTATGTCTTTTTGACTGTCCAATGTTCTGGTCCTTTTCAGAAAGTCCAGGTACTCATCTGTGAGCCTACGATAATTTGTGCAGGCTTTAACAAGGTTATCCTGGGCTGTCAAGATTTGCTGGATCTTGTTAGGAGGCGTGGTGAAAAGCTCCTTTACCTTTTTCCGTGAGGTCTCGTACTCGCCTCGTCTCGGGATTTTCATCTAAATGTGTGGTATTAGACGGATTCTCTATAAGTTCTTCAGGGACATCTCCCTCTGGGGGCTGAACCTCCTCTTGCTGTTCCGCTTGACTGGGATCCATGATGGCTCAACGTTGTTTGTTTGCTGCCAAAACACAAGCTGTTTTGCGTAGTGTCAAGGTAACAGCTACGAACGATGCTCCGTTGTATTTCCTGATCAGGAGATGTGTAGACAAGTTGTTGTCAATTTACTATGCTGAGCCGGACTCAACTAGTTTAACCAGGTGACTGAAATCGCAATCTCGGCAAATATATAACGAACACAACTTGTTTTGAAAATTGTAATTATAGTATTCCACCAGAAAGGTTTACAAGTAGTCAGTAGATTGGTAAACTGAAAGAAATAAAAATACAATATTTTACAATGTGTACGAATGAAATATGAACGTTAAATACAAGATTATTAATCGTGTCAAAAATCGAAAGTAGAATTTATAGTTCATTTCTCGGAAATAAATAACTTACAGTTCGTATGTTTTTATAAATCACTTATCCAAAAATAACGGAGTAAAACAGATTAATTTTATCACAGTTTATGAATGAATCAAACGTACTTGACAGTGGTATGTCTCGATTTCCTCAGAAAGTTAAAATGTCGTCCATGTTCCATGTGAAGAAATATTGATGCGGACGGTGTCACAGAAATTAAAGGCAGTCGATAAATACGGTGATGTAAGAAATCGGTCCAGTTCAATTTGTTCCGGATAAATATAAAAACATGTAATAAACATTGATTGTGGAACAGAATAATCTTGAAATGTGTGCAGTTTCTTTAAAAATATTTTGAACATTTTACAAATTATCATGGTATCAGAGGAAAGTGTTATATATAGAGGAATCATGTGAATTACATTACAGACTTCATTGCAATTTGAGTGTTCCAAAAAGTACATAGTCAAAAATAGTTATGACCCCGCATTGTTGCTTTTACAGCAATAGTTTTAATATTGACGACTGCATATCTAATCTATAGTTTTAATTGTATTATAAAAACAAGGAGATGTGGTATGATTGCCAACTATCAACCACAGAACAAGGATACTAGGTATAACCTTAATGTCTAACGTTAGACGTCGACAAAACCGGTTTAACCCCGCAACATTTATATGCACCTCGGTCCCAAGTCGGACAAGTTCATGTCATAAATAGGTCTTGGAGAAGTTATATATTTAGTTTACTAAACGATATTATGACATTGTGCTGTACAGCTGGATAGTATTCCTTTTTTATATTTTTGTCAGAACCATTCAGCGCTTATTGTATGGTGTGGACTGCCAAACATTGAAGACTGTATGTTAGTTTTGTATTTGTTGCTTATGTGAATTTGGCGGTCTTCATAACATTTCTCCTTTCCCGTTTTTCACACACATCAAAAATGAAAAAAATCATAGCGCATGGAAAGCTATAAAAGTCTACTTGATAACTAGTGAAACTTATCGCAAGAAAAAAAGTCCTGATCTACGTCAAAACATTGAATAACACCATTTATGAACAGACGACAAACAACGACAATCAAAAACTAAAAGCCCTGGATTGAAACAGGCACATAAAGAATGTGGCCATATAGTTCATCAAAAAATCTCCAATGCCTTAACGGCTTGAAATCAAAGGAGAATTACAGCAATGACGTTTTAAAAGAAAATACTTGTAATTATCCAAAACCATCTTATGATATTTGTGATAGCATAATGTTCAGAGAACTTATCAATTAGGTCTCGAATATGACTACAATTTTCAGTACTTCAAAAATGACTGAAATTTTCAGTACTGAAATATGACTGAAATTACATTATTTAAAAATGACTGAAATTTTCAGCATAGTAAAATGACCGAAATTTTCAGTACTGAAAAATGACTGAAATTTTCAGTACTGCAAAATGAATGAAATTTTCGGTACAGAAAACATTTTTTTCTCAACATTACTGAAAACATACATATATTTAAATGTACTGAAAAGATATGGGTAAGAAATGTACTGATTGATTAAATTTTTTATCAGTACTGTATATATAGTGGCATTAAAAGTACATGTAAACGCTAGGTAAATTCCTGGTGGTGTAGTGATAATTGTCTTATTGACAATCATACACCATCTCCTTATTTCATATATTTCTGTAGCTTAAATTTCGAGACGCTTTCAAAAGCTGTTCTTACTTTTTGAAATTCAATTTTTCCAATTATTTCATATATATGTTTGTTGAATATCACTTCTGTTCTCCCAATTGTTCTCACTTTTATAAAAAAAAAAGTTTCAATTCCAGAGTGATTCAATTAATTGTTCAAGATCTTTTTAACCAATAATTATTGTTCTAATTTTGAATAAATTTTAATTCCTCAGTGGCTTTTCCATTTGTTTTTCTTTAGATTGTATTGTATTCCATACTGGTTCTAACAATTGATATAACCTTTAATAGGTTGATTTCCAATTCTATTCCAGAATTGTTCCGCACAAATTCATTGCTTGTAGGTCAAATTAGAGAGTTGTTCCAGTGTGATTTTCTTATTTTTAAATAAATTATGTTCCAGAATGATTTAATGAGTTACTTTAAGAAAAGTAGAATTCCATTGGTTTCCCTAAGTTTAAGTTTTTCATTTCCGATATTCAAATTACATTTCGTGTACATATCTCTCGCAGTGGCCGTATTGATATGATGCAGAAAATAGCATCAAATATGAACGTAAGGAAATGAAATAAAATGAAAACATCACTCATACTGTTTATTGCTAAAGGATCCAGTCTAATGAATATTATTATGACAATCCTCGCCAAATATGTCACTGCGTGCGTTACAACAACAAAAGAAATTACACCTAGAGCATGGTGTTTATTTTTCAATTTTGCCTGCAAAGAAGGCGTTGCGAATAAGTTAATACTTCTTTGGCATATTATTGTTGGATTTGACCTAATAGTAAACATCATTATACCGACTGAATGATATTTTTTTCTGATATTACAAAAAGTTAATATACAAAACATAATATCAATAAGAAGGGTGACAAAAAGGACTACAGAACCGAACATACTAGCTTCTGGATTGGTTTGAAATGATTGCAAAGCATAACAGTCTCCATCTCCAATGTTTACGTCTGTAATAAATACCATACAGAGAAATATTAATAACCAAACTGTAGTAGCAATATACTTAAGAATCTTCCTCCTTCTCAGGATAACCGAGGTAGGTAATGGTAAAGATGCTTGATAACGGTCAAAAGACACAACGACGGTTTGCACTGTTGATAATACCGTCATGAACATTCCAGATGCCATACATATAAAACATATATACTTGATTCTTTCGAAATATGTTATGATTACAATGTTATATCCAAAAAAACCTGTTGCTCCTATGAAATGAACTGCAATTATCGGTATAAGTAGTCTATAGAATGGATTTTCTCTAAGTATTTTGGTTGTTAAAAATCCTAAAATCACTACGAAATTAAGCACCATCGACAACAACCCAATTCCGGAATTAATTCTTGCAAATATCAAATTTTGATGAAGACTCGTCTGCTTTTCCTCACTGGTAAAATTCATATTACAGTTTACCAGTCTATGTAATCGTTCACACTGCTAATGTTAAGTCTTAAAGAAATGTCTGACTCTAATATGTCCATATGTTTCATGTATCAGCAAATACGACTTAATCCGTTAAATGTTGCCTATAATTTGTATAAAATATAGGATTTTGCCAAAACCTAACCATCTCATCTAATGTTTTTTTTTTTCAATTTTAATTGATGATACTGCGTTTATAGTTATTTGTATTACTGTGTTGAATATCATAGTGTTTCACAGAGTTTATATGAGAAATGTTTAGGTGCTATGGTTACAAATTATATATTAAGTAAACCCAATGCACTTTTACCATTAATCCTTAACGGACTTTTGAAGAAATGAAAGGACAATAATCTTCGACTTATAAATATAATTCCGTGCAGATATAAATATATAATTACGTATATTCGAGCTTCAAATAAGTATGGGTGTCGCTTGATATCAAATCGAGTTTCTTAATTTCAAAATAAAAATAAACGAGCCTTTGGCAAGGTAATTATTACAATTTAAATTAGATAACGAGAAAAAATATCAATATTTCTCTAATTCTTACCTCATTTATCCTTTTCCTGACCTGTTGATTGTTTCATCTCTCCAGTTCTTAGCTGATTTAATCTTTTCGTGACCTGTTGATTGTTTTTATTTAATCAACGTGTGGTTTGTTTGATCTCAGTTTCTTATTGGTCAAAATTCAATTTTGACGTCAAATTCTCTTGCTTTCCTCTGAATTTCCTATTGTGACGTCACGAAAGAAGGTGAACATACCTGATGACATTGTATAGAAAGAACAAATCTTTTTTAAAACCATTGAACAAGAAGGATCAAGTTTTTCTGCATGTCGTCTTAGAATCATTAAAGAAACAGATTTTGCCATCAAATCTCGTGCAATACGATAAATCTCGACAGTTAAACTGTAAATATTTAAAACGCTGTGCGAGTCTCGCGTTTTAAATTTGAAAATTTAACTATCTCGAGTGTAGAAATATCGTATCAAACTCGATGCAGTGGTAGAATTTATATTTAATCAACGTATGGTTCGTTTGATCTAGATACTTCATTGGTTGAAATTCAATTATGACGTTTAATTTTCTTGTTTTCGAATTTCCTTTGTGAAGTCACGAAAAAAAGGCGACTATACCTGATGAAGTTACATAGAAAGAACACATTCTTTGCATATCATTAGAAAAGTAGGATTAAATTTGTCTGCATGAAGTCAAAATACCATTAGAGAAACAGATTCTACCACCATATCTCGTGCAATACGATATTTCTCCACTCTCGACACTTAATTTCAAATATTTAAAAAAGCATTGGATGATGTGGTTAGGTCTTGGTAAAATCCTTTTTGTTTTACAATCATAGGCAACATTTAACGGATTAGTCGTATGTTCTAGTATTTGTTGATACCCATTATTATGTAATTAGCTCTTTCATTCGTTTGTTGTGTTTGAGCTTATGATTTTACCAATTGATAAGGGACTTTCCGTTTTGAATTTTCCTTTGGTTTCGGTATTTTTGTTATTTTACTTTTTTCAAAGTACAGAATAAGACTTAAATCAAGAACTATCTTCTCTTTTCAAATATCCGACGTTTATAACGATGCTTGATAACGAATAATAGTTTAAAGTTAAAAAATAATAATCTGATTAAAAAAATAAACATTATCTTTTAAGGAAGTTTATGATGGCGTATCCCTACATAACAATTATCAAAGTTTTCCAACAATATTTAAACGGCTTGTTTTCATAAGAAACTGAACGAAACGGAACCGTTCCATTTCATTTTTGAACAACGATTGACTAGCTTGCCATTTCTTATCAGTTTGGTTCAATGTAAACATTAATTAGATATAAGAAGATGTGGTATGAATGCCAATGAGACAACTCTCCATCCGAGCCAAATTTATAAAAGTAAACCCTTATAGGTCAAAGTACGGTCTTCAACACGGAACCTTGGCTCACACCGAACAGCAAGATATAAAGGGCCCCAAAAATTACTAGTGTAAAACCATTCAAACGGGAAAACCAACGGTCTAATCTATATAAAAAACGAGAAACGAGAAACACTTATGGACCACATCAACAAACGACAACTACTGATCATCAGATTCCTGACGTAGGACAGGTGCAAACAATTGCAGCGAGTTTAAACGTTTTAATGGTACCAAACCTTCACCCTTATCTG